AATTGAGAAGAGAATGGCCTCTTATGAACTCTCATTAACAAGTTATCAAAAGCAGGTATAGAAAAGGTTCTTTTTGATTATTTTCTTTGTTCAGGACTTTTATGGAAAAGTGGAGTGAAAGAAAGAGGAACAGCGGCAGGTGTGTTCGTTGTGTAGATTGATGAATTTTAGTAATCCAAACTACTGGCACACTATTGACCACCAGAGTATTCAGCATTCAAATAACTATACGTCAGGGTTTCCTTCGTTTTTCTATTTAGGTAGACATCAATACAGCAACATTGGCTTTTGTAAAGAATGGCACAGTGGAGTTAGCCTTAGAATTAAAAGATACCCAGGTTGCATTGAATGATAGTATTCGTGTAGTTCGAGAAACCAAAGCAGATGTGGCTCGATTAAATGCTTCGGTTGGTGAATTAAGTGGTGATTATTCGACATTTAAGCAGGAAATGACACAAACTCTGCTGTATTTATCGATCAATGAAATATTAAGTAATAGACCCAATTTAGTATTCATTAGATCAAGTGATGTTCCTGCTGTTATTCAACAAATCATGCAAGAAGCAAATGATTCATTAGATAGTATTTTAGAAGATCAATCACCACTTATTGCTCTTACACAACTTATTTTATATCAAAAAATATATTTTATGCCAACAACGATGTATCGTTCACAGAATGCTGAAGAGATTGGCCGACTGATTTTCACCAACGTTATTGGTCTTCCAAATCAAAAACAGGATAAATTTAATGTTTATCAGTTACATCACATTCCATTCTATCATCACCATCATTTTGTAAAAATTGCTAACATGCCGTCATATATCGGCCAAAATCCACTAACAAATGACACCATTGAATGGTATTCAACAGATACTTCATACTGCACATTTGACAGTTATATTAAATGTAAAAATACACCGGCATATGGGAGATATTTTAATAATCGATGTTTAATACAGGTATTATCCACCAATATTAAACTATCATCATGCAGGTATGAACATGTGGAAGATGCCGATCACTACACTCTTCAGCTAAATGGTGGATATTGGGCAGTGTCTAGTAACAGAACTCTTGAATGTGTTCTTGTTCCTGTTATGCCCAGTTCAGATGAAATTGGTGAATTACCAGCGGGTAAGTGACACACGCCACTAACCAATGTTACTAATCAACAGTTCTTCTCTCAGCCCAGCTGACGAAGCCCTTGAGCAAGGCTGAAACGCGTACTGGGTAGCTCATTTTTCTTCTTCTCCGCTTTGCCTTCTACTTATTCGGTTGTCTATTTTTACGATCATGAAACGAAATTTTGAACCTTCGTCTCGTTCAGAAAATGAGTATTTGTCTTTTTTAACAGCGAAATAAACAATATTCTGAAAAACTGATTGTGCCATTCGATAGAGCTCATCGAGTTCTATCTGGCACACTTATTTCTAGAGATGGCACAGCTTTAATAAAAGATGTTAGGTCAAAATACGAAATTTTGAACCTTCGTCTCGTTCAGAAAATGAGTATTTGTCTTTTTTAACAGCGAAATAAACGATATTCTGAAAAACTGATTGTGCCATTCGATAGAGCTCATCGAGTTCTATCTGGCACACTTATTTCTAGAGATGGCACAGCTTTAATAAAAAATGTTAGTCGAAAATATAGAAATCTGCTGCTAACTTCCCTTACGTGTATTTATCGCAATATTCTTCTGTATCTCGATGCGTGGCAAATAAATTATTTCCCGATACTTTTACAGTGATAAAGTGATACAATTCATCGATAAAAGTTCCAAGCGTTGTGACGGAGCACAGATTTTATACTGTTGCGACGCGTTAACAGATTGTGTCCGATACGGCATTAAATGGTTCAAATAGAGCGTTTTAGCGGGATATCTTATTTCATACATTGGAGCACGTTAATTCTTCGTAAGTAAGGCGTTATAAACGTATATTAAAGAGTGCAACAAGATAAAAAGTCGTACAAAAAGGAAGAGAAATTACGAAAACCCTTTGCATGAAATTAAAGAGATATTGTCTTATAGTAGTGATTCTTTTTAGAATCTTTTTCGTTTAGGATATCATGAGGTGTCTCTGGATGCCACAAGTCTTTTCGGTACTTTTTAGATAGCCTACCTTAGTGTAAAATAAATATATCTATCTGTCTATCCGCGTAATAGCGAGATAAGAAGATCAGCGGGCGACCCTAGTGGCATTGCCGTTTCATTTTGCTGAAATCTGATCGCGAACACAATTTTGTCTCGTATAACGAGAAAATGCTGATCTTGGTAAAATAAAATCGCGATCTTATAATTGTAATCGCGTTCTTGATCAAATCAGTAATGAGATCCCGTTTCAGTTGGTGTGTCAAACGTGTGACGGGACCACGGTAAGATTACAGCAAGCTTTTTCCTTTGCACATCGTAGAGGAAAATTTTTCAAACTTATGATTCTTTAACTTCCGCAGACTTGGTTTAGGCTGTTTCTAAAAACAGTAAGAAAGCGAGAATATAAATTCCCATTAAATAAATCGTTGCACGAAGCTAGGATCAAATACACTGACTTCATATTTTCCTCTTCCTCGCCTGTAATGTTTTCTTTTATTTCGTCTATCGGTCGAAAGAAGAAAAATAGATAGACAGTGTGGGTATATTATCGTCCACTGTGTTTATCCTTCGTTCTCTTTTAACGTATATAACAGATATAGATCAATACAATTCAAGTAGTCATTTCTTCACTTTTTGCAAGGGTGCAAAGACCGTTTCATTCAACTTTATGCACTTCTTTCGACTGATGAATAACACAATAACACTCAAAGAGTATTTTCTGCCCGTGTTTATTTTGTTTTGTTGTAGTTAATCGAAACAGCCTAACTATTTGACTGTTGTCATTGGTACGTACACAGCAATTTTCTGCAGCAGAAGCGAGTTATTGTTTTGTCTCAAATATGCACTATTTTCTTCGTGACAGTTTTAAACTCGAAGGAGAATATTCTTTCTCAGACAACGCTTCAAACCTAAAGTCTGTCAGATGCTGTGCCGATCGAAATAAATTTTTGTAAATGAATTTTACGTGGACGACGCCTTTCAAAAGATAACAATAACTTAACGACTTACAATTTTTACTTATTTTCTTCAGCTGGTTTTCTATAAAGTTTCTTTTTTATATACTATACTGTATAAAAAAATCAGTCGAGTTTCGTACAGCCAGTGCGGAACGAAACTCCTTGGTCTTTTCAGCGCAAAGTGCATTTAGAAGTCCTTTAGCGATGTTTTTCTTTGAAAAAACTCAGATTTCCTGTTTACTTTCTTTGTTTACAGTGTTACTTTTGGTTATTGCTTACTTTCAGATATATTTTGTTTATTCAACGACGACTTACATTATGACTTCGACGGATCACATCCCGAAGATAAGACCGATAAAATGTGATCCGTCAAGTTTGAAGCTTAAGTTAATAAGCAGTCTATCCAGCTATTCTAACATCTCTCACCACATCTGCCTTTAGCTTGATCGAAAAGTCAATAATCGTACTGTTTTCCACAACATTCCGTCTTGTAAAACAGCGATAGAATTTTCTATTATGTAGGATACATTGCAGCATCACCACGGTATCGGACTATATAGCGATAAAATTAGTAATCGTCACAGTCCTCGACAGCAATTAAATCTATCGAGACGCCACGTTAGACCGCCACACGGAACTTTAGCGTGATATATCGCACGATATAAAGGTTTCGCTTTCCGTCCCGACAGATTATTATCTCGATAAGATACTTTATCGCAATAATGGAGATTTTTATTTCGATAAAAATTTCATCGGGGACAGAAACCGATAACTTCATTCCGCATGGTATATCGCGATAAATTTTTTCATAGCGGTTTTACGTGGCGTCTCGATAGAGTTAAGAACTATCGAGATATAAGATACAAAATATCACCTCTAATCGCGATATTTTATCGAAAAAAAACCTCAAGGCCAGCGCTCATTCCTTCTCATATTTCTAGGCATCTGTCTTTAGTTTTTCTCTGTACAATATATTTGTAGAGATGCGTGTTAAGTATTCTCAACAGTTCTTAACAAACCCATTCCTTACATGTACAGGAATTCTTACTTTACGAGATAAAAGTGATAAAAGAACGAAAAAGCATGTTTAAAGACGCATTTAAGCGTACTGCCGATTCCTGTCGGTTTTGTGGACAATTTCGATAAAGAGGTTATCGAATGGACGATAAACGCCCATAAACAAACACAATATCATTTTGAACTGGACAATGTGAAACGCTTTGATCATCAAAGGTTTAATCGAATGCTGATTGATATTGTCACTTGTTACATTCATGCGTATCTTTAATTCGAGGGACTGTTATCGAAACATATAGAAATGATT